GGCTTGAGCCACCGCGCCCGGCCGAGAGTAAATATATTTTATTTTGTTTTTGGTCTTGTAAAGAAATGACAGGTCGGGCACAGATGTTCATGGTTGTAATCCCAGCACTTTGGGAAGAAAATATTATTAAAATAAAAATTATTTTTACTTTTGTAGAGGCGGGGCTTCACCATGTTGTCCAGGCTGTCCTGTACTCCTGAGCTCAAGCAATCCTCCTGCTCCTGTGAACCACTGTGCCTGGCTGACGCTGAACATTTTTAAAAGTAAACCTTTTGAGTATTGAGGAAATGTGTGCATAGGATGCAGTCCCAGATTATAAATCAGCTTGACACTGGGCACGGTGGCTCACGCCTGTAATCCCAACTCTGGGAGGGTGAGGCAGGCAGATCATTTGAGGTCAGTTCTAAACCAGCCTGGCCAACGTGGTGAAACCTCGTGTCTGCTAAAAATACACAAATTAGCCACGTGTGGTGGCGGGTGCCTGTAATCCCAGCTATTTGGGAGGCTGAGGCAGAATTGCTTGAATCAGGGAGACGGTGGTTGCAGTGAACCGAGATTGCGCCATTGCACTCTAGCCTGGGTGACAGAGTGAGACTCCGTCTCAAAAGAAAAAAAAAAAGAATTCAGGGCAAGTCCATGAAGTGAAAGCCAGTTTATTAGGAAAGAATGGCTATTCCTTAGGCAGAGCAGCCCCAAGGCTGCTGGTTGCCCATTTTTATGGTTATTTCTTGATGATATACCAAACAAGAGGTGGATTATTCTTGCCTCCCCGTTTTAGACCACATAGGGTGACTTCCTAATGTCGCCACGGCATTTGTAAACTGTCATGGCACTGATGGGAGTGTAGCAGTGAGGACAACCAGAGGTCACTCTCGTGGCCATCCTGGTTTTTGGTGGGTTTTAGCCGGCTACTTTAAACTGTTTTATCAGCAAGGTCTTTATGACGTGTATCTTGTGCTGACCTCCTATCTCATCCTGTGACTTAGAATGCCTAACCATCTAGGAATGCAGCCCAGTAGGTCCCAGCCTCATTCTACCCAACCTCTATACAAGATGGAGTCGCTCTGGTTTAAATGCCTCTGACACAAGCAACTTGGGTACTAAACGCTGTTACAACAGCCTTGCTGGTTTTGCCTGCTAATGATAATCTACAGAATTCTAAAGATTTACCGAGAGAGAAAAAAAGCAAAAAAAAACACAATCCAAGACAGAAGAGCAAAATGATTCCAGCTGAGAAACTTGAAGAATAAAATCAACCAGGAGGATGCTTCATGTGAGTAGAAAGTGGACAGTATTTTCACCATGTAAGGAAATGTGATCTTTTGAAAAAAGAACGAGGTCATTTTGTATTTTAATAAAGGCGGTTCCTTCTTTCCACTTACCTGCTTCTAGGAGACAACAGCAAAGAGCTGGCCTTGTTTTAGCAACCTGCATTGCAGTTTACATTCCCTTTAATCCAAGGCAAAGATTAAAGAGATCCCCACCCCTGCTCCAAGTCAATCTTGAAGGGCAAGTGTCTGGTTCTTACCTCATCTACCCACACCTGGAACCTGTCATGGTATGGACAAGTTGAAACAGTAACTTGTTCCTCCACCCAACAGTCTCGCAATACTCCAAAAGAGCAAACAATACTTTTTTATTATTTTAATTAATTAATTTACTTTTTGAGATGGAGTTTTGTTCTAGCTGCCCAGGCTGGAGTGCAATGGCACAATCTTGGCTCACTGCAACCTCTGCATCCCGGGTTCAAATGATTCTCCTCCCTCAGCCTTCTGAGTAGCTGGGATTACAGGCATGCGCTACCATGCCTGGCTAATTTTGTTTTTTTTTTTTTTAAGTAGAGACGGGGTTTCTCCCTGTTGGTCAGGCTGGTCTTGAACTCCCGACCTCAGGTGATCTGCCCGCCTCAGCTTCCCAAAGTGCTGGGATTACAGGCGTGAGCCACCGCGCCTGGCCAACGATATCTTTTAAAAATGGGGCACCTGCAGGCCGGGCGCAGTGGCTCAAGCCTGTAATCCCAGCACTTTGGGAGGCCAAGGTGGGCGGATCACGAGGTCAAGGGTTCAAGACCAGCCTGACCAACATGGAGAAATCCCGTCTCTACTAAAAATACAAAATTAGCGTGGTGGCACATGCCTGTAATCCCAGCTACTCAGGAGGCTGAGGCAGGAGAATCGCTTGAACCCGGGAGGCGGAGGTTGTGGTGAGCCGAGATCAGGCCACTGCACTCCAGCCTGGGCAACAGAGCAAAACTCCCTCTCAAAAAAAAAAAAAAAAAAAAAAGAATCAGTGCTTTTATAGAGCTTTTGACAAGGAGGCAGTACAGTAGTTAAGAGCACAGATATGGGGGTCAGAGAGATCTGGATTTAGATTTACTAGGTTGTGTATCAGCTGTGTGTTTTAGTTATGTGTGTATTTAGCTGTGCGTATTTCCTCTAAACAATGAGGTTAACAATGCCTATCCAATGTGGTGATTGTGAAAATGGGATAATGCACAAAAATACCTTAACATGATGTCTGGTAGATGGCAAAGAGGTAACTATTAAGATACCTCTGGTATTCACAGGTGACTCTACTAATGCAATACTTCTTAAAGGGACATTTAAACAACTACTGCTGTGATGTAGGGAATAGTCAAATATTTAGTTGAACACTCGCCTCTCAAGAACCACTTCTGGAATGTCGACAAGTTCCTTTAACCTCTCTCTGCCTCCCTTTCCTTACTTCCAAGTGGTGATAATGATTTGCCTGACAGAAATGCCGAGCGAAATCAGGTTAAAAACACTATGTAAACAACTGTAAAGGATTGCTTTTATTTTGAACTTAAGCTCAGAGGAAAAGAAACCAAAAGTATTTTAAATTTTATTCTATTTCTAGCACATTCTGTGAGGGCTTTAAAAAGAAATTTCTCTCTTTATAATTTTCCTTTCCTTTATTCTTTACAGAACAGTAAATCTGATTACTCAAGTTCTCAAAAATGAAAACTATATCTGGAATGTTTCCATTTTGCTCCCCCTGTTGGCCTGAGAGCAGGATAACACTGCCTGAGACTAACAATTCAAGACAATCTAAACATTTATTTTCATGGACTTGACTAACATAAAGACGTAATGGCATTCCACAGAAAGACCTAAACCACAGTTTCAGCTCTATCTTATATATATATTTCTGACAATTAAAAGCAATATTTATGTCTAATTTTTAATTTTTAACTATTAGGGTTCAAATCTAGAAAATTATACAAAGGCTAGCTGCATGCCATTCATTTTTTCAAAATAATTACTTTTCAAAAATTCTGCTGTTCCAAAATTACGGCTGAAATCCACTGAAAGCACCCAAACTTGCAACTCCTATCATTATTTTTGTTTTGCTACCACTAATTTTTACAAGTTTTTTTTTTTTCTTTTTGAGATGGAGTTTTGTTCTTGTTGCCCAGGCTGGAGTGCAGTGGCATGATCTCGGCTCACCGCAACCTCTGCCTCCCAGGTTCAAGCGATTCTCCTGCCTCAGCCTCCCAAGTAGCTGGGATTACAGGTATGTACCACCACACCTGGCTAATTTTTGTATTTTTAGTAGAGATGGGGTTTTGCCATGTTGGCGAGGCTGGTCTTGAACTCCAGACCTCACGTGATCCTTCCACCTTGGCCTCCCAAAGTGCTAGGATTACAGGCATGAGCCACCATGCCTGGCCAACAATTTACTTTTACACTTAAAAGTTATATACACTGGCCAGGTGAGGTGGCTTACACCTGTAATCCCAGCACTTTGGGAGGCTGAGGCGGGCAGATCACCTGAGGTCAGGAGTTCAAGACTAGCCTGACACGATGTGGAGAAACTCCGTCTCTACTAAAAATACAAAGTTAGTTGGGTATGGTGGCACATGCCTGTAATCCCAGCTACTCGGTAGACTGAGGCAGGAGAATTGCTTAAACCCGGGAGGCAGAGGTTGTGGTGAGCCGAGATCATTCCATTGCACTCCAGCCTGGGCAACAAGAGTGAAACTCCATCTCAAAAAATCAAAAAACAAAACAAAACAAAAGTTATATACACTGTTTCACCTGTGAATCACTTTTTTGTATTCAAAGTCTTAGATTATGTATATGAAAACTAATTTATTAAACCTCTGTACACAAAGATGAACATACCTGTACAGCAACCATATATGAAGAATGAAGTTACAAAAAAGTAAAAGTACTACTAAAACTGACGCATGTAAATCACTTATAAAAATACCCCAAATGGGATAAAGCTGCTCATCCCTGATTTTTCTCATTTGGTTGTAGGAGTTGAAACATGAATTTAAAATGGTAGAATTTTTTCTTTTAAAAAGTGATATATTAAACTTATATACAGGATAATTAGCAAAATGTAGAAAGGGAAAACAATGTACAAAAGACAGATAAAAACCATCACTCTCGACGGACAGTCACAATCCAAAAATAGTATAAACCTTAACAAACTCTCTCTAAACCAGGTCATATTCACATCTCCCCCCAAGTTTTGTCAGTGAGAATAAAATATAGTGAACTAGTGAACTCAGTCTTTCTTTAAAATAGGCTTGACTTTGGAACACGAACCTTGGATAGATTTTTAAAAATGGGAGGTACAAACAGGAAAACCATTCTATCTCTCCACTTAATTCGTACTAATTAACGGAACAAAGTTATTAAATAGCTCTCAGTGCTAAGTCAAGCCGTTATTCAGAGGCCTTTTTGTTTTTCTGCTGGTTTCGGGGTGAGTTCTTTAACAAGCTTCTTATCCTGAGGTACATTCCAGTAGATTCTGCCATATTCTCAAATTCAAATGGCGTGATTCCAGTTGCAAATTTGCTCATGTCAGGTATAGGGCTATGAATCTTAGTGGCCGTTGAAGGACTGGTGTCTGCAGGAAAGAGCTTCTGGCTGTCCCCATTACTGACGTCACAGTCTGGTACGACACTGCCATTATCAAGGGGGGCACCTTCAGGGTTTACTGGAGCCAACTCTGCCTTTTCCTTCTGACAAAGTGATGTCACCTCAGCATCTGGACTGGAGGCATGTCCAGCTTCTGACTTCTTTGTAAAAATTTCTGGTACCTCAGGCTCATCCAGCGTCTGCTTTTCAGATGTTTTTCCCTCTGGGACAGGGAGGTCCAGCTCATTTGGACAAGGTGATGAGGCAACAGAATTCCCAGTTAAAGGTGTGTCCACAGGAATGTCAGAGTCGCTGTTTACACTCTCGGCCTGCTCGAGAGCTGCCCAGATCCGCCTCTGCTGTTCTTCAAGTTCTTCTAGAGTCAGTGCGTCCTCATCCACAGCTCCAGATGCTGTTCTGGTCTGGGGTGAGTCACTGGGAGTCAGCGGCGGGGTGCCCTTGGGGAGTGGAGGGGTGAAGACGGGCGGAGGAGTTCCCCGGGGGAGTGGAGGAGTGTCAGGAGGTAATGGTGGTTGAAACTGAAAAGTTTCGCTGCTCAGAGAACCATGTGGTACCTCCACATCTGAAGTAAGAAAGTTATGAGATACTTTAGAACTTGTAATAGCATTTGGTTTTACTAAAATTTGTTATTTGCACTCAGGTGTATCCAGATATTCAATGGCCAAAAATAACTGGCTTAAGAGGCGGGACATTCTGGATTCTCAGGTGCCATGACCATTACCTGGTGTCCTCAGTTCACCTGAAAAGATCTGCAGGGAGACCTGTCAGGTTCTTCTGGTGCTAGAGGATATCCCTTGGGAGATCCATTTCTGTGCTGTGTGCATCATTTTAGATTGAGGAAATATGAGCAATTGCATGGAGACTTCAGAATTTCAAGGTAGTACGCTCTACCCAAAAATTCATGGCAGAATGCAGTAGGAAATTTGACCGGAGGTGCAGGCTGGCTACTGAGTGGGTGGAAAGCTAATGGGGAGGAAGTGAGGGGCAAGCCAAGTGTACACCTTGGGTTATTTCCTAGCTTTTTCTTTTTTTTTTTTTTGAGACAGAGTCTTGCTCTGTCTCCCAGGCTGGAGTGCAGTGGCACAATCTCAGTTTACTGCATCCCCCGCCTCCCAGTCAAGTGATTCTCCTGCCTCAGCCTCCGGAGTAGCTGGGATTACAGTTGTGTGCCACTACGCCTGGCAAATTTTTGTATTTTTAGTAGAGATGAGGTTTCAACATGTTGGCCAGGCTGGTCTCGAACTCCTGACCTCAGGTGATCCACCTGCCTTGGCCTCCCAGAGTGCTGGGATTATAGGCGTGAGCCACTGCGCCCAGCCTAATTCCCCAATTCTTCTTTTCTTTTTTGAGGCGGAGTCTTGCTCTGTTGCCCAGACTGGAGTGCAGTGGCGTGATGTCAGCTGGCTGCAACCTCTGCCTCCTGGGTTCAAGCAGTTCTCCTGCCTCATCCTCTCAAGTAGCTGGGATTACACCGTACGCCAACATGTTCGGCTAATTTTTTGTATTTTTAGTAGAGATGAGGTTTCACCATGTGGGCCAGGCTGATTTCGAACTCCTCACCTCAAGTGATCCGCCCACGTCGGCCTCCCAAAGTGCTGAGATTACAGGCGTGAGCCACTGTGCCTGGCCCCCAATTCTTATCTCTAATCTAGATTGCTCGCCTGAACTGCAGGTTCACCTATCTAACTGCCCACTGACTATCATCACCTATACGTTCTACACACACAACCTGTTCAAAACAAATGATCTCTTCCTAAAATGAGGACTATTCTCCCATCTGCTATTCTCACTAATGGCACCACCAGTGGATCTGCTTGTCATTTGAGAGTACTCTCTTTCCTTCCATCCATTCCCCAGGTCTTTGGCTCTTTGGGGTGCATGCTCTCCTGCTGGCTGTCATAGCCGCTACCTTGCTTCAGGCCCATTACCATTTGCCAAGAACATCAGAATCACCCCGACCTCTGGATTCATCTTCCTTGTGTCTGTCCTCCAAACCGCTGCCAGACTCATCACAAATCTGGCCCTATAACCCTTCCCATCTCCACTGGAAACCCTTTAGTGCCTGCCCAGACCCCACAGGATGAAGTCCAATCTTCCTCCATGGCCCTCTAGGATACAGTTTCCCTGCTTCCATCATGTTATCTCCTACTGCCTGGCTCAAACTCCAGCTGTCACCCTGCTGCTGGCCTGATGTGCTGTGAAGTTTCACTGTCCTGCATCTGCACTTCCCACTGTCTCAAATGCCCTCCTCCTCATTTCCTTGGTAAATCTCTGCATTCTTCCCTCAACAAGCAGTTCAGAGTTACCCTATGACTTCATTCAGCACAGATGCTGTTTTTCCTCTGTGTCACCATTACAGTCTGGAACCTGCTCTGTGGCAGCAATAGGTAATACTATTGTTCTGTAGGTATTACTGTGGGCCACCACATTTATATGAGAATGATGTTTACACATCTGCAATCCCGAGGTGACAGAGAGTGGTAACTAGGGCAGCAATACTGTCTTATTAAGCTTTCTGTCCTCAGAGTCTAGTAGGGGGTCTGAACTTTATTCTACAGACAATAAGATTTGTGAGGAGAATAACATACTCTCACTTAGAAGTCAACTCACGGCCCAGCATGGTGGCTCATGCCAGTAACACTGGGAGGCTGAGGCAGGCAGATTGCTTAAACTCAGGAGTTCAAGACCAGCCTGGGCAACAAAGTAAGACCTCTGTCTCTACAAAACATACAAAAATTAGCTGGGCTTGGTGGCGCAGGCCTATGGTTCCAGCTACACGGGAGGCTGAGGTGGGAGGACAGCTTGATTCCAGGAGTCTGAGGCTGCAGTGAGCCATGATTGTACCACGCACTCCAGCCTGGGCAACCAAGCCAGACCCTGTCCCAAAAAAAAAAAAAAAAGAAGAGCCCCTAGCACAAAGCTGAAAATGCCTACACAGAAGTGTATGGCCCTGGTGACAGGGGTGCCACCACCACAAATCCCCAAACTTCAAAAAATGACAACCATGGGCCAGTGCTGTGGCTCACACCTATAATCCCAGCACTTTGGGAGGTGGAGGCGGGCGGTTCACCTGAGGTCAGGAGTTCGAGACCAGCCTGGCCAACATGGAGAAACCCCATCTCTACTAAAAATATAAAATTAGCCAGGCGTGGTGGTGGGCACCTGTAATCCCAGGTACTTGGGAGGCTGAGGCAGGAGAATCACTTGAACCCAGGAGGCAGAGGTTGCAGTGAGCCAAGATCGCGCCACTGTACTCCAGCCTGGGCGACAGCAAAACTCTGTCTCAAAAAAAAAAAACCGAAACAAACAAACAAAAAAAACTTAGGGGAAATAATTTGAGCGCTTTGATTCTGAACTTTGAAGTCACTTTGTGCAAAAGAATTTGATGTGAGGATTTAATCCCTTTGAACTTTAAGGGAATTTAATTCATGATCTTTGTTTTTTTTTTAAGGAAGGAAGACAGGGCTTCACAATCAAATTTGGGACAACTTACATGTTCACATCACATCTTTTTTTTTTTTTGAAATGGAGTCCTGCTCTCTTCCCCAGGCTGGAGTGCAGTGGTGCGATCTTGGCTCACTGCAACCTCAGTGAGCCACTGCGCCCAGCCAGCAAAACCCTATTTCTACTAAAAATACAAAAATTAGCCGGGTGTGGTGGTGCATGTCTGTATGTCTAGCTACTTGGGAGGCTAAGACAGGAGAATCACTTGAACCCAGGAGGCAGAGCTTGCAGTAGGCCGAGATTGTGCCACTGAACTCCAGCCAGGGTAACCAGGCAAGACTGCCTCAAAAAAAAAAAAAAAGCTAGGGAGGTCTCAGAGAGCAAGCCCTTTGTCCTACTTTATGTTCTGGGAAGGCACATTTTCCTGATGGCCTTTCTTGGGTGGAGGAGTGATCTACTGGATTAATACTATTGGAAAGAGTAACTGGGAAAGCTTGGCCCAGCTTTGCTCTTCTTCCTCTTGGGAGCAAGCTGCCAGAAGGGTACACACTTTCCACTGCCTGTCTCAGAACACTGGCCGGATCAAAGGGGCCAGTCTGGATGCAGCACTGTTGAGACTGGGTGGGTCTGCTAATCCAGGAATGGGCCAGGCACTGTGGCTCACACCTATAATCCCAGCACATAGGGAAGCAAAGGCAGGACCACTGCTTGAGCACGGGAGTTTGAGACCTGCCTGGACAATACAATGAGACCCCATTCTATACAAAAAAAAAAAAAAAAAAAAAAAAGGAACTCCCCTAATTCAGGAATGCAGCCAGCTGGCCCATCTAGCTCTCACACCAAGCTCTGGCTTCCAATTCAGCTTTTATCATGGACAGCAGTGATGCTCTGATCTCCAAGAATAAAATAAAGATTTACTCTCTAGACAGTGCTCACAAAGGAGCTTCCCCTTTCTTACGGAATTCAGGAGCATACAAATGTGTCATAGTTTCTTGATGAAATCAAAGCTACAGGCTGGGCGCGATGGCTCACACCTGTAATCCCAGCACTTTGGGAGGCCAAGGCGGGTGGATCACGAGGTCAGGAGATCAAGAGATCAAGACCATCCTAGCTAACATGTGAAACCCCGTCTCTACTAAAAATTAGCCGGGCGTGGTGGCGGGCACCTGTAGTCCCAGCTACTAGGGAGGCTGAGGCAGGAGAATGGCATGAACACGGGAGGCGGAGGTTGCAGTGAGCCAAGATCGCGCCACTGCACTCCAGCCTTCCTGAAACAGCGAGACTCTGTCTCAAAAAAACAAAAAAACAAAAAAAAAAAAGAAAAGAAAAGAGGAAAAAATGAGAAATCAGAGCCGTAAGATGAAACCTACCCGAATCGAGCTCCATGTCGGCCGGGGATCCTGCTGAGTTGCTTTCCTTCTTCTGCTTCTTTGGACTCCCTGGGCTAGAGTGAGATGAAGACCTCTTGCTGCCAGACTTCACACCTGGCTAAAGGAGCAACCAAACCAAACACAAGTTAGGTGGGGTAGACAATGAATTAAACTCCATCCCTTCACTTAAAATGATGTAGAAAAGCGATCTGGAGATAAGTCTAGGTAACTGGTGAATTTCGCCACTGTTTTCCTTTTGGTTTGTCAAGATAACAAAGCAAGAAAAGGCTGTAATATGCTAATAATTTACAAAATCTCACAGACACAACATTTTATAGAGTACACCCTTAAAATCTATTTACCGTTTGGAAGTTAGAAGTAAGGTAATTGGCAAACACATCCTTCTGCTGACATGCCTGCATTGGTATGGAACCAAAGATCCTCCATTCCTAATAATGAAAAGAGAAGAAAAAAAAAAATCATGTATTTGGAAAATGTCATGTTTTGAGATTTTGCTCAAAGGAGGCACAGCAGAGATCTCAAATTATGTTTTTCCTTCTTATGTTACTTTTCCTTTATTGGGAATTAAGGAAAATAATGATGTGTTGAAGGAAAACTAAACCTGCCTGCAACATAATCAAGACTATGAATACTAAAAGACTACCTGACACAATCACTTGGCCAAAAAAGGTTCTACATACCGCAAGCAGAAGATGTAGGCAGGAGTGATTGCTATGGGGCCTCCCAGGCTCCAGTCTCTCTCCCATCAAGCACTGGCACTGCTAACGGGGCCGTTCATAGCCCACTTCTCCTAACACACTTACTCATGAGTTTTCCATCTTCTGCCCTTTCTCTTTCCAAATATAGCACTCATCTTTAAAGATTCCATACCGCTTACTTCTCTCTCCTCTCCAATCACACATTCAACAGTGGTTCTCAGTAAGAATCCCATGGAACTCTTGTGAAACATAGAGGTTCCAGGGTTTGAATCAGTTAAGTCTAAAGATGGGACTCAAGAATGTACATTTCTAACGAGTATTCCCAGGGGACTGTGAAGTAGACTGGAAGCTGCACTGGCTTCCAGAAGCACTGATGGTTTGTATCATGCACTTCTGCCCGTAATGAATTACACAGTCTTGTGTGATTGACAACTTTCTATCTGCTCACTACACTCTTAACTTCAAGTCTTTGGCTGTTTCCCTACTGTCCAGTTCCTAAGAACACACTTTTTATTTTTATGTTTTTTTGAGATGGAGTTTCGCTTTCATCACCCAGACTAAAGTGCAATGGCGTGATCTCAGCTCACTGCAACCTCCACCTCCTGGGTTCAAGCGATTCTTCTGCCTCAGCCTCCTGAGTAGCTGGGATTACAGGCGCCTGCCACCACGCCTGGCTAATTTTTATATTTTTAGTAGAGATGGGATTTTGCCATATTGGCCAGGCTGGTCTCAAACTCCTGAGCTCAAGTGATCCACCCGCCTTGGCCTCCCAAAGTGCTGGGATTACAGGCATGGGCCACTGCGCCTGGCCAATAATACACTTTTTAAATAAAACAGTACAATAGTTCATTGTTGAATCTTGAGACCTAAGATGGAAGCTGGAAAAGAGTTAAGTGTGGAAAAACCATTCATATACAAAATGAGAAATTTTACTTTGAGGGGAAAAAAGGCAAGAATAAACAGGAGAGTTACAGTATATTTAGATTTATTATAGATAGAAACTTATTTCCTAGATTAATTCTGTAAAATATATAATACTGTCTCAGAACAATCCACATTGTTAAAAACTTTTAAAATGTTAGAGTAGTTTTAGATTTAGAGACTCTAACCAATCTATTTTGACTCCCTTTCTGAGGGCACAAAATCAGAGAAAACTGCTGTTGATGAATATAAGACTTCAATTAAGATTCTAGCAAGATTCTATATAGGAAATTAAAAATATAAACAAGTGGCCAGGTGCGGTAGCTCACGCCTGTAATCCCAGCACTTTGGGAGGCCGAGGTGGGTGGATCATGAGGTCAAGAGATCGAGACCATCCTGGTTAACATGGTGAAACCCCATCTCTACTAAAAATACGAAAAATTAGCCGGACGTGGTGGCGGGCGCCTGTAATCCCAGCTACTCGGGAGGCTGAGGCAGGAGAATGGCGTGAACCCGGGAGACGGAGGTTGCAGTGAGCTGAGATCGTGCCACTGCACCCCAGCCTGGGCGATAGAGTGAGACGCAATCTCAAAAAAAAAAAAAAAGTAAACAAGTAACACATTTATCTCTTTAAATAGTAACTACTATATAAGTTTGTATGTATATATGAATTAAGTAATTATTTTTTGAGTCAGGGTCTCGTGTGATCTCACCTCACTGTAACCTCTGCAATCCTCCCACCCCAGCCTCTCTAATAGCCAGGACTACAGGCATGTGCCGCCACCCTTGGCTAGTTTTAAAATTTTTTGTAGGGACAAAGTCTTGCTATGTTGCCCAGGCTGGTCTCGAACTCTGGAGCTCAAGCAATCATCTTGCCTCGGACTCGCAAAGTGTTGGGATTACAGGTGTGAGCCACCATGCCTAGCCAACAAGTTAATATTCTGACCAATCTTTAACATAATAATATCACATCACACGATAATTTAAAAAAATAAATATACTTACATCTGGAATTCCTCTGGGAGTAGATATATTAAAACCAGGATAGTTGACCAATTTTGAGAGATCATAAGTGACACTTTTATTCTGCTGTATTTCTCCAATTTCTGTTTCCCCATCAGTGCTATCTATTACAGACCATAAAAAGTGTTAATATTGCTAAATGTCAATATATATCCCTCCCCAGACCAAAAGTACACCTGGAAAGTGCTTACACTCATGGCAACAGAATTAGTTTTGAAATGGCTTTCAATTTTAATTATAATTTTTCTTAACCATTAGGACAGAATTTTTTTTTTTTTTTTTTTTGAGAAAGGGTCTTGCTTTGTCACTCAGACTGGAGTGTAGTGGCACTATGTTGGCTCACTATAGCTTCTGCCTCTCAGGCTCAAGTGATCCTCCCACCTCAGCCTCCTGAATAGCTGGTTCTACACACACGCACAACCACACCAGGATAGGCTATGTATTTTTAGTACAGACAGGGTTTCACCATGTTGCCCAGGCTAGTCTCAAACTCCTGAGCTCAGGCGATCTACCTACTGCCTCAGCTTCCCAAGTAGCTGGGATTACAGGCGCCTGCCACCACGCTTGGCTAATTTTTGTATTTTTAGTAGAGACCGGGTTTCACCATCTTGGCCAGACTGGTCTTGAACTCCTGACCTCAAGTGATCCATCCACCTCGGCCTTCTAAAATCCTGGGACTACGGCCATGAGTCACTGTGCCCAGCCGAAACCTGCTTTTTAAAAACTCAATATTGCACAAAGATTTTGCCATGTCAGCTCATATAGATTTATTCCCACTCTTCATATGTTGCAGAGAGTCCACAGCTCAGAACTACCAGTTTATTTAACCATTTTTCTTTAGGGCCTTAATGTTGTCTTAGATTTTTCACTATCATATTTAATGATACAAAAAGATTCTTGTATACATACAGTTTATTTTGCATATGTCTATCTTTCTAGAGTAGGTATCTAGGAGAGAAGTTCTAGACTATTAGAGGTTTTCTGTATTTCACATTTTACAGGTCTCCTGGCATTGAGGATCTATGTCTGTTATTATTACTGAGAAAGGTAAGAGCTTATGAGGACTGGCTGGAGAGTGATACTCTGGCCTAGACAGTACCTGAGCAAGCCCAGAAAACCATCAGATAATCTATGAACTCACTGAAATTTTAGTTCCTTCCTTGTAAAATTTACCAAGGAAACATCATCATGGTATTTTTTAGTTAGCACACATTAAAGAAGTCAGCCGTTCCTATCACATTTTGTTGATTCTTTAACAAAAAAAAAAAAAAGGAAACACTTAAGGTGACTTCTCTAACTTAAGATACTATACCTTTTCCATCATACAGTGCAAGCCCCGAATTCTCCAATTCAGCCTCTTTGAGCCACCCTGGTGGGTACCCCAGCTGGCGCATCCGATAGATAAAAGGTGGAAGACTCTTGTCGGTCACACCTAGTGCATCTTGAAGTTCCTCACTAAGTAAAAATAAAGGAGGAAGAAAAATAATGAATTCTTGTTTGCATGAAAACACATACATAATATTTTTTTTTTTTTTTTTTTTGAGACGGAGTCTCGCTCTGTCGCCCAGGCTGGAGTGCAGTGGCCGGATCTCAGCTCACTGCAAGCTCCGCCTCCCGGGTCTACGCCATTCTCCTGCCTCAGCCTCCCAAGTAGTTGGCACTACAGGAGCCCGCCACCTTGCCCGGCGATTTTTTTGTATTTTTTAGTAGAGACGGGGTTTCACTGTGTTAGCCAGGATGGTCTCGATCTTCTGACCTCGTGATCTGCCCGTCTTGGCCTCCCAAAGTGCTGGGATTACAGGCTTGAGCCACTGCGCCTGGCCAATATTCTGGTATTTTAAAACATTTCTTGCTTATATTACATACCATGATGGCTAACAAATATAATTAAAATTTCAAGAAGTGTTTCTAAATGAATTAATGTATATTACCTAGGGCTTTGGCAGAGTACACTTATATCCTGATAATTAGCCCGAAGAGACAGAGAACATTCGAAATGCTAGGGAAATAAAAATGACCTTCTATGGTAAAATGCCATTAATACCTAATAACTCCTGGCTTGAATCTTCCAAATCTTTCTTCTACTTCTTCTGCGTGGTATCGCTGCTGGAAATTCTGATTGTTTGCTTCCCCACAGGCATCCATATACTCTTTTCTCTTTTCACTTATTCGAGCAGCATTCCGAGGCTACATCATGACACATTTGAAAAGAATGGTTTCATGCAACTCAGAAATATTTCAGAAATTAAATACTTTTTTTTAGATCAAGTAAACAGATTATTTTAGTTTTAATGTATGACGAACAAGTGTAAAAGAGAGTGAATATTTTAGAAAAATAAGTAAGGAAAGGAGCAGTCTATTTATTACCTCAGCATTATAAATTAAATCAAGTTTTTAGGATAAACTCTACAATTTAACTCTGTTTATTCATATCAAATACAGAGAGTACTATTTTAAATTATTTACTAAAAAAATTTAATGTCTTAAAATATAAACACAAATTTGAAAAGATTTCAAATTAAAGGACTACAGGAAAGTAACAAAGAAAGTTCCTTCATGTCACACAATACCATAAATGTGTTGAAAACATTAGAAAGCTCTTGTTCAAAGACTTTTCTTAACATGAGAAAAATTTACCATTGGGCAATCTTTCATTTGGTGTTCTTCAGAACCACAATTGAAACAGTGAGGCTTTGGCCTATTTGGTCAAAAGACAAAGATTTTTATAATGTAAATAAAAATAGAAAAGCAAATCAATAAAATTCTATATGACAGCAAAGTGTATCAGAGAGATAAGAAAGCAAGTTCATCACAGATCACTAATATCTGCAACAAGAAGTACACTTTAATCTCTTGTATTTAGTGATTTAAATAGTACTATGCAGAGTCTTTTAACCAAGAACCCTTCTGTTCCTGACTGATCTGTTACCTCTTTTGAGTTTTTTCAGTGGTTAACAACAGAAGAATCGAGGTGAACAGATGATCATATTTCCATTAGGTAACATGGAAAGAAGGCAGATGGTTATAAGACTGCAATCAAATTGACAGCAACAATTACACTTTTCCACCCGCCCAGGCACATTAGGTGAGAACCAATGAATTCCAAGAGGCAGATGATCCATTTAAACGTTTAATATATATGTATGGAATAAAATTCTAGCTCAATCTGTAATTAACCTTAGAGTAAACCAGCAGTAAAGAACATTAACTTTTCAAGCCAAAAGTTTATGATTTCCGTTAAAAAAGTAAGTAAAACAAAACAACTCCCCACACAAACCTTTTTGCCTTTACTTGTATTTCTTGCCCTTCTAGAGAAACAATGTGGCTGAAGACTTGATGGTACCTTTAGTGAATTTTATTAAGGAATAGTTATCATGGTCTGCAAAATTTGGAAATTGTTTTAAAGGTGAACTTAGTGGTAAGATGCATAAAAGATCTTCATTCACTATGTAGGATACTTGGGTATTTCCCATCCTTCGGAAAGCTGAGGGTTTTCATTTAGAAGCGGTTGCCCCAATTTATCAAGGCAAAAATTAGTAAAATACAGGACACTTCCTACAACCTGCAGAAAACAAGTCAAAAAATATTGCTATTTAAGCAGGAAAAAAAGACATTAAATAATGTAAGACTATGATTAACTGTTTTAACAATTTATTTTGGATGGAATTATTAGAAATAGTAACTTCCTAGTTATTAAGGAGCCAGACTTTGATGTGTAAGTAGAAACTACATCATCAGTTCCCTCTCTCTCCTAGATCACTGTTTTTCTTCTGTATTGGATCATGACTATCTGTCTCCAGAATTCAAACAAAAAATGAAAACCTTGACTCTCACGTTTCCCTCCAGTGCCCCATTTCATTGCTTCTCTTTGCAAAACATGCAGACCCTTTAGTTATTGTTTCCATTTCCTTTCTTCCCATTCACTCTTTTCTTGTCCCTCCAATTCTTTTTGAAAATTCCATACAGACAAGTTGGAAAAGTGGTACAATGAACACCCAATGTATCCTTCACCTAGACTGAACAATTGTTAGTAGTTTAACATTTTTGTCTGCCTCTCTCTTTACACATACACTGAACACACACACATACACTTTTTTGTTTGTTTTGAGATAGGGTCTCTGTCGCCCAGGCTGGAGTACAGTGGTGCAATCTTGGCTTACTGCAACTTCTGCCTGCCAGGCTCAAACGATCCTCCCACCTCAGCCTCCCGAGAAGCTGGGACCACAAGCACAGTCAGCTATTTTTTTGCCCAGCTATTTTTTTGTATTTTTAGTAGAGGCAGAGTCTTGCCATGTTGCCCAGGCTGCTCTCGAACTCCTGAGCTTAAGTGATCCACCCGACTCGGCCTCCCAAAGTGTTAGGATTACAGCCGTGAGCCACTGCACCTGGCCTCACATATACTTTATAATTTTTTTTTTTTTTTTTGAGGCAGGGTCTTGCTCTGTTGTCCAGGCTGGAATGCAGTGGCATGATCTTGGCTCATTGTAACCTCAAAGTCCTGGGCTAAAATGATCCTCCTGCCTCAGTCTCCCGAGTAGTTGTGCCACTACACACAGCTAATTTTCTTTTTGTTTTAGAGATGGGGTCTTGCTATGTTGCCTAGGCTGGTCTTAAACTCCTGGCCTCTAGCAATCCTTCCGCCTCAGCCTCCCAAAGTGCTGGGATTACAGGTGCTGAGCCACTGTGCCTGGCCTCCATTTTTTTAATGACACTGCCCTCTCTCTTGAACATTTGCAGTAATGCTTCTATACCTATCACTGGGCTGAGTTCCTAACATTGGAGCTTCCCAATGACCTCCATGCAGCCAAATTCAATAGCTAGTTCTCACTCTTCATCTTTCTTAACCTATCTGCAACAATTGACACGATTTTTCCTTCCTCCTAAAAACATCTTCCTCCCTTGTCTTCTAGGACATGCTTCTCCGTTCTCTTCTTTCCTTGCTGACTGAGCCTCAGTCTTCTGTGCTAGACTCTTCTCATCCCTCTATCTCCCATGTATTAGAGTGCCCTAGGTCTCAGTCCTCCTCTCCACTTTCACTACCCAGGTGGTTCATCATAACCCATGGTATGAAGTATAATATATATGCTTACTACCCCTAAAAGTCAAGTTATTATTATTATTTTTTTTTGAGACAGAATTTCGCTCTTGTTGCCCAGGCTGGAGTGCCACGGCGCAATCTCAGCTCACCGCAACCTCTGGCTGAACCTCCTCGGTTCAAGCGATTCTCCTGCCTCAGCCTCCCAAGTAGCTGGGATTACAGGCATGCACCATCAGACCCGGCTAATTTTGTATTTTTAGTAGAGATGGGGTTTCCTCATGTTGGTCAGGCTGGTCTCAAACTCCTGACTTCGTGATCCACCCGCCTCGGCCTCCCAAAGTGCTGGGATTACAGGCAGAAGCCACTGTGCCTGGCCTAAGATATTATTTTTTAATTACTATTTTTTCACTGGGAGCATAGATTCAAGTTGCCCTGAATATATGTTCTCCTTTAAGCTCAAGTTCTGATCCATCCTAACCTTCGATTTTATATATGGAAGTGTCAACTTGACAGCTCTCAAGGGGTGTGTGAGTGGCATCTCAAACTCACCTGCTTAAAACTGCACTGGATTCCTAGCCCCCTCCAAAACTGTTCCTCCTCTAGTCTTCCCCATCAGAGAAAATACGACGACATTCTTCCAGGTTCTCAGGACAAAAACCTGAGTCACTATGATGACTCTCTTGCTCTCATATTCTGCATCCAATTCATCAACACATTTGATCAGCTCTACTTCCCCAGTACATCCACGTTCTAACCACTTCTCAGTAGCACCATTCTCACCCCAGTCTCAGTACCAATTTCTCTCACCTGAGTTGAATACAATAACTTCCTAACTGGTTTTCAGCTTCCACAGGTAACCAGCTACGGACTATTTTCCACACAGAACCCAGCTCTTTTAAAAACTCAATTCATGGCCGGGCGTGGTGGCTCATGCCTGTAATCCCAGCACTATGGGAGGCTGAGGCGGGTGGATCACGAAGTCAGGAGTTTGAGACCAGCCTGACCAACATGGTGAAACCCCGTCTCTATTAAAAATACAAAAATCAGCCAGGTGTGGTGGTGCGAGCCTGTAATCCCAGCTACTCAGGAGGCTGAGGCAGGAGAATCGCTTGAATCCGCGAGGTGGAGGTTGCAGTGAGCAGAGATTGTGCCACGGCACTCCAGCCTGGGCGACAGAGCGAGACTCTGTCTCAAAAAAAAAAAAAAAAAGTCAATTCATATCATGTCACATTTCTACTTAAAACCCTCCATCGCTTCTCATCTTACAGTAAAATCTAAAGTCCTCATTACAGCCTATTGGACAACCTACAGATTCAGACCATGTGCTCCAGACTCCAAGGGCCTGGTTTGTTTTTTTTTTTTTTTGAGAGATTCTCACTTTGTTGCCCAGGCTGGAGTGCAGTGGCATGATCTCGGCTCACTGCAACCTCCGTCTCCCGGGTTCAAGCGATTCTCCGGCCTCAGCCTCCGGAGTAGCTGGGATTATAGGCTTCAGTCACCATACCCAGCTAATTTATGTATTTTTAGAAGAGATGAGGTTTTGCCATGTTGGCCAGGCTGGTCTCGAACTCCTGACCTCAGGTGATCCGCCTGCCTTGGCCTCCCAAAGTGCTGGGATTACAGATGTGAGCCACTGTGCCAGGCCACAGGCCTGATTGTAAGCCCTGCCCTGGCTTTGCCACTCACTAACCCACTGGCAAGTTACTTAGCTTTCCATCTCTGTTTCCTCATCTGTACAACTGAAGCCTAAGAGCACCTTCACGAGTAATACCTGCAGTAAGCTTAGAACTTACATGCCAGGTAGTGCTCCTGCCTTGGGCTTTCTATTATGCTTCCTACGGCCTGGAGTGCCCCATGCAAACCACAGCCTCCACTCACTTCCTCAATTCATCCAAGGTTCAGCTCTGAGAGGCTGTCAGTCACTATGCAAACCACCTACCCCACAGCTACTCTCTGCTTTCCCTGCTTCATTTTTCATCAGGACGCTACCTTCCCCGACTAGAATGTAATTTGATGAGAGCCAGGACTTTGCCCTTCTTTTCACTGCTGTCTCCCTGGAACCCAGAAGGATCCCTGGGACAAAGCGGCATTCACTAAATATTTTCGTATTTGTTAAAGGTTTAAATTAATAAATAAAGAAAATTCCCAGTTTCTAGGCAAGTGCCACTTTTTTTTTTTTTTTTTTTTTTTTGAGACAGAGTCTTGCTCTGTCGCCCAGGCTGGAGTGCAGTGGCACGATCTTGGCTCACTGCAAGCTCCTCCTCCCTGGTTCACGCCATTCTCGTGCCTCAGCCTCCGAAGTAGCTGGGACTACAGGCGCCTGCCAGGACGCCCGGCTGATTTTTTGTATTTTTAGTAGAGATGGGGTTTCACCATGTTAGCCAGGATGTTCTCGATCTCCTGACCTCGTGATCCGCCCGCCTCAGCCTCCCAAAGTGCTGGGATTACAGGCGTGAGCCACTGCACCTGGCCACAAGTGCCACTTTCAATCCCAGAACCTCGGGGTCAGAAGGAAAATGAAACACTACCTCATTCAAATTCAGAAATTTTTCTTTAAAGTGCCCTGATAACATCTCAGTCCCTATTTGACTCCAGTAATACTGAATTCACTTTTATAAATGAGAAGTGCCATTTCACTTGTTTTTTTTGTTTTCTTTTGAATGCCAGGTCATATCATTTTTCACATCTCTGATAGAAATTTGAACTTTCTAAGCGCTGAGTTGAAATGTACCTTCTTGTAGTCAATTCAATCACTGGTCTTAATTCTGCCACTTGGCACTTTAAAGGGTGATTTAAAGTAACTTTTACTCTTTTACAAACAACAGCCTTTATCCTATTTGTAGAGACGGGACATCCTTTGTAAATTTTCCTTTCAATAAAGTTTGTGGGCTCTTTGTCATCCCAGTAGGCCTGTATCTCTTTCTTTTATATACAGATATATATCTATAGATACATATATATATATATTTTGTTTGTTTTCTGAGACAGGGTCTTGCTCTGTCACCTAGACTGGAGTGCAGTGGCACAATCATGGGTTACTGCAGCCTTGACCTCAAGCAATCCTCCCACTTGAGCCTCCTGAGTGGCTGGGACTACAGGTCCCATGCCACCACACTTGGCTAATTTTTTTTTTTTGAGACTGAGTCTCACTCTGTCATCCAGGCTGGAGTGCAGCGGCGAATCTTGGCTCACTGCAGCTTCAGTCTCTTGGGTTCAAAGCAATTTTCACGACTCAGCCTCCCGAATAGCTGGGACTACAGGTGTGTGCCACCACATCTGGCTAATTTTTGTATTTTCAGTAGAGACAAGGTTTCTCTATGACAGCCAGGCTGGTCTCGAACTCCTGACCTCAAGTGATCCATCGGCCTCAGCCTCCCAAAGTCCTGGGATTACAGGTGTGAGCCACTTCGCCCAGCCACACTTAGCTAATTTCTTTCTTTTTTTTTTTTTTTTTTGGATGGAGTCTTGCTCTGTCTCCCAGGCTGGAGTGCAGTGGCCGGATCTCAGCTCACTGCAAGCTCCGCCTCCCGGGTTTATGCCATTCTCCTGCCTCAGCCTCCCGATTAGCTGGGACTACAGGCGCCCGCCACCTCGCCCGGCTAGTTTTTTGTATTTTTTTAGTAGAGATGGGGTTTCACTGTGTTAGCCAGGATGTTCTC